AAAATTATGATTAATTTAAAAAAATAAAAATTTCTCAAATTTATTATTTCAGTGAAATAACTATCTACTCAACGTGTTTATTTTTCGTCAATAATGACATGTATTGACTATTTCCATTCTAAATATCTTGAGAACGGATACTCGTAGCGATTTTTACAAAGAGATATTTTTTACGTAAAAAGTCCCAGAGATGTATATTTTTTCCCTCGGTAGTTTTATACAGGTACGGACATAAAGTTATTAAGCTTCAAAATAGTTAAAACGCATGTAGGTGGCGCCCTCTACCAGTAGGAGTCATATTAACATCAAAATCAAATTTCTCATGTCAAAAAACTCCTAGACACCAATTTTCATGGAAATATTGACGTTACTTCAGAAATGATTTAGAAAAAATCGAAATAAAAATGAAACTTCTACACCCTGTATCTCTGAAACGAAGCATTTTAGGACATACATTTATAAGAACTTTTTTGTACATTTTTATCTGCAGAATATGCTGCCGAAGTTTTCGGAATACAGTTCGGACCACCCTGTATAATAATGTTAATAATTTTTATTTTCTGTAGAAAGTGTACGAATTGCTACTCTTTTAATTTGTTCCTATTAATTATTTATAATGAAAACTTATCAAACCTTTCATGATAGATAACTTTAGAGATTTTCATCGAGAAAATTTTGTATTTCCTATTTAGTGGAAGGGGAGGCCTGGAAAAATTCTGGGTATTTGCCCTGCAAAAATTGTAAAAGTTTGGCTGCAAAATCAAAACTTGACCCTGCAAGACCAAAACTACTTATTAGAGGGCAAAATCAAGACTTAGATCAAGGATATGTTGGGATCTTGTTCTTGCATTTTCTCATCATTACTCATGTTGATGGCCTGTAGAATAATAGAATGCATCACAGTGACAGTTACTTATCTTTCTATACTGAAAAGTAAATTCTCGAGTAAATTATTTTTTCTGTCAGTTTTTCGGCTTGTCAAAATCGTCTCTTCTATCGTTGAACGGATATTAAGAGAAAATTTTAGCAAAAAATAGCATGAAAATACTTCGAAATCTAACTGAATTTTGTATCAGACATACTAACTTTTTAAAAAAATCTTGTATTAAATCAAATACAGTAGATAAGTCAACCAACACATTATATCGTGTGTGACCCCCTTACAGCAACTGAATAAATAAACCATAGGGCTTCGTCATGTTTGGTTTGCTTTTAAGATTTTGTTTACGAAATTTCTTGATTTGTTTGATTATTAAATGTTGTTTTCAAATAAATGGGTAGAAAACAAAGAGTTATTTTGTCAAATAACTGAAAAATCTCGAGATACTTCTAAATATATAAAATCAACATTCGCTTTTCCGTTTTTAAAAGAATCATTGCTTTGTTTTTCTTAATGGCTTTTTACAGTAAATACTTGCCACTTGCCGCCCATCGAGAGGACAGTCCTCTTTTTAGCCAACCATACCAACAGGTATGGTAGGCTATTAATATCGGCAAAAAAAAAGTTTTTTTAATTTCACTCAAAATGACAGTTATTTGAGTCATAAATGACCGAAATACAAAATATTTTCATGGTGTCTATCCGTCTGTGTGTAACACGATAACTCAAAAACCGCTAAACCGATTTTAACCAAATTTGGCACAAAAATACTGTGGCACCCGAGAATCTGGCCATTAGTTTTTGGGGCAGGGGGGGGGGGTTGGTAAGGGGGTATCGGAGGAAGTTAAAAATTTTAAAAAATCGTCCAAAAAAATTAAAAATTTTAAAAAAACTCGAAAATTACAGTAGCTAGCGAAACGCGCTTTTCAATTTAAGATTAGGAATAATATTTGCAACAAAATTTCTAATAACATCAAAATCAGTCAAAGTCGCAGTTTTTAAGATAATTGAAACTAAAAGAACTGCCTACCAACTTTTTATCAACATATTTTAGTATGGGCGGCTATACGTGCCTCCCGGCGCCAATTTTTGATCGTACTATCCTCTTTTCCCCCACATATGAAAAAAGTCCTTTTTTTACACCTCAAACTCAAAATATAAACAATATTCGTCTATCGCCAAAATTCTTAATAAAATTGTTAATTTGGTAACAATGTGTCTTGTGTATACCATTGTCTTAGCTTATGTTTTCAAATATTTTTTTTGTAGAAAATCGTTTATTTTATTTTAACCAGTTTTGAATATAAGTATTTTTAAGTAAATAAGAGAGGCCTTAACCGCATAAAGTTTACATATCTTTCTGGTAAATTCTTGACACCATTTGGGCGAGGTTTCAACAAATATTTGGCCTGCTGCGCTTTTTTACCTTCTGATCCTATATTTTTTATTTTGAAAGTTGGCCACCCTACTTTTCTAAAAAACACACCAAAATTTCAGTAATGTATAATTTCCTTTGATATCAAAATACAGGGTCTTAAATAAGTGCAAATATTGTTAGTGGTAGTATATTTCGACCCAAGAAACACGATAATGAGGTATTTTTCGCAAAAAAAATTGGAAAATTTAGAATTTCTTAAAAAAAATTGGATTTTTTTTTAATTTTTCCTTAAAAATCCTAATTTCTTGATAATATGGCAACATAGGTAGGAGATCAAATTTACAAAAAAGAAATCCCAGAAAAGATTCAGTGGTTCTCAAAATTTAAGAAAGAAATCATTTTTTGGGAATTTATTAGTATTTAGTAAACGGTTGGTAAACGGTAAGGGGAAAATATGTCTCTTTTATCGAAACCATCCTTGAAAATATTTGCACTTATTTAGGACTCATCCTGTATATTTGATTGAATTCTTTTTAATTAGACTATGGTTGTAGGTTATTGTAGCAACTGTGTTCATGATATAAATATAATGCTTAAGTCATTAACGGAAACAGTATATTTCAACATTGTTTTCACTTACTAACTGGTATTTTTCTTTTCGAAACTATCATGTTACTTCATCCGCATCAGGCATATTCAGCAACAATTATTAACTGAACAAAAGAATTATTCTCACTGTTATATTTCTAACTAAATAACCAACTAGTAGTTCGCAGAAGGAATGTTGCTTTACCAAACAAAATCGAAATATGTTTACTCTGCAGAATAAAATAACGTACTACGTAAAATTGTTGCGTTTTTGTATAATGCATGTACAGGGTGTCCCATTGTTCCGAAATAAAGCTATCTATATGAGATTTTATGTTTTAGAGTTTAAATTTATTATTTTCGAGAGATTTCATCATAAGAGCAATGATATGTGAGTATACAGGGTGCTACAAATTCGAGATACGAGCATTGATATCTCGGAAACCGTAAGAGACACGAAGATGGTTAAATTGGGGCAAAGTTGCCTCCTTGGCATGTTCACCAAGATGCCATCAAAAAAATTTCAAGGATTGATGAGTTTTTTGGAAATAACATATTTTTTTGAAAATCAATTTTATTTTTTCCTGTCGTTACTTTTCAGAAAATCAAAAAACTAATTGCACATTCTCATAGCCACTTTATTAGGGTTATCTGATGGTATTTTTAGATTTTCAAATTAGCTGATAATTTGTGAGATACAGAGGCCAACTTATTTTTTTTAAATACGGACCTGCATTTTTATTTCAGACTTTGAAAGAACTCGGTCTCCTGAGTACAATGATATGCCACACTTGATACTTTCTTTTGTTTTGGATACCTTAACAGTAACAAAACTATTTAACTGTTATTTAAAATAATTTGAAGTCCGACTCCGGTTTTTTAATTTATTTAATATAATTATGTTCAGCACAACAATATTGATCAGCGCTAATTAACATTGAATAAGGAAAATCACGCCAATTAAAAGATTCAAAAAACTAATATACATGTCAGCAATTTAAAGATATCTATTATATTTAACTTTTTTTATTGTGAATTTGAAATCTCAGTGTACGATCTAATAATATGCATAATATTAATCGTAGTTATTATAAATAAATCAACTTCTGCAAACTAGTCTCTCTCTGCATGTTCGAAAGGGTTACCACCCTCCATAATGCACACATTTGTTTTTCGTTCAATCTTATTTATAGCTCTTTGAACATATCTTCTTCTTATACTTCTGAATGCATTTTGTACTTTTTAATTGTTTTTTATTACACGTTAATTGTTTTTGTACTCTTAATGTTGAAATGTATTAATTTCAAATGTCCAAAACAATTTTTATTGATTTTCCTTATTCAATGTTAATTAGCGCTGATCAATATCGTCGTGATGAATATAATCGGACTGAATAAATTAAAAAACCAGAGCCGGATTTGAAATTATTTTAAATAACAATTAAATAGTTTTGTTATTGTTAAGGTACCCAAAACAAAAAAAAAGTATCAAGTTTGGCACATCATTGTGCTCAGGAAGCCGAGTTCTTTGAAAACCTGAAATAAAAAATGCAGGTCCGTATTTAAAATAAATAAGTTGGCCTCTGTATCTCACAAATTATGAGCTAATTTGAAAATCTAAAAATACTATCAGATAGCTCTAATAAAGTGGCTATGAGAATGTGCAATTAGTTTTATAATTTTCTAAAAAGTAACGACAGGAAAAAATAAAATTGATATTTAAAAAAAATCCGTTTTTTCAAAAAAACTGAGTAATCCTTGAAATTTTTAAAACTTTTTTAATGGCATCTTAGTGAACATCCTAAAGCGCAACTTTGCCCCAATTTAACCATGTTCGTATCTATTACGGTTACCGAGATACCAATGCTCGTACCTCGAACTTGTAGCACCCTGTATACAAATACATGCAGGATGAGGCAATCTTCCAAAACTATGCGCATAAAGTTTTTATGGAGATATAGATGCTGGTACTCCAATTTATAGAAATAATTTAGCTGGTAGGACTGGTGGACTCTTAATTTTGGCACTACTTTTGCCAGCATCGTCTGGAAACGCAACTTAAGAATAACTAACCAGTCTCAAAAACTTTGGATATACTATAACAGTTTTATTTGACATATCCAAAAAAAAACTACAAAATATTTTTTAAACTAACCTGAGTTGAATAAGGTTGAAAACTCAGCTTCACACCATCCTGCATCAGCTTCTCCTTCAGCAACACCTTCAGCTGCATCCTAGGTATCTTCACCAGCTCAGCTTTACCCTCCTCATACTCATCCAAGTACTTCGCGACTTCCTCGGTACATGGAGGTGGTGCACTAGGTACAGTCTTATCACCCGAAGCCTTGGAAGAGTTACTGTGTCTATCAACATCACTATTATTCGCCGAAGATGTCAAAAAGTTTTGAATGGTGTTGGTATCGTCCTCCTGGTTGGCTTTTTCGGCTTCTTCCAGACTGAAGTAAACACTTGCAGCTCCCTCTTCGCGTAGAGTTCGAACACTTTGAAGCAACCGCGCTCTGTGTGAAGGGTTGAACACTCCGATGGCATCCAAGTCAGGGTCGCCGATTTGTTTGCAGATTTCCAAGTCGTCATAACCGTTATCGATGAAACTTTCGGAATATTGGCCTAATCGTAACGATTTCAGCCATTCCGTCACTATATTCGAGGCCATGGTCATGGTTTTAACGATGAATTAACGTTAAGATGGCTTAATTCACTATGTAGACGCACTGAAACTGTTGTATGTATTCACTAACTACAGCTGTTTGGTAAAATAGACGGGTTCCTTTGTTGTTGTATGCTATCAGAGATAAGAGATAGTGGTGAATATGGATTTTCGGTGTCGTTTGATATTGGATGATAACGAGTTTTGTAGGTCTAAGTGAAGTAATAATTAGTTAGGTCTAAGTTAAATATTTATAATAATAATAAACATCCTACATCCTACTAAAAATATTATTAAAAAAATCAATATAATTTTCTGGAAGATATTTCATTATCAGATTTAGAATATGATATTTGATAAAAATACTGATTAATACTAATAAGTGAGTTTTATAATACCAAACTAAAAGTCTTGGAAATATTTAATTTAATTGATACTTTTAAATTCGTTCTTTGGTTAATTGAAAAAATTGTGTTTAATAATTGCTATATCAAGTAGGTAACTTATTTTTAAATTTCAATACTCATTAAATCTTGTTTATATTTGTGTCTTTATTTAGTATATATTATATTAAAATATCGAAATCTAGCATGTATATACCGGGTGTTTCTCAAAAGTGACTCACCCCTGTAACCTTTTTATTTTCTCAGATAAAAAAACGAGATTTCTTACGTTAGTATAGGACATAAATCAGGATTGATTGACGTATTCAATTGTTTTCGGTCTCTTCCTGTTTCACTGGAAATGACTACAATTTTTGATTAATTATAGATAACACCCTCGGCATTTTTTACTTTATTCGATTGAAAATGACACTCTGAATAGAATGACATATCATATTTCAACTTTTGACATTTTCCCATATATTTTATTTGAAATTATAACATGCAGTTCATAACGACAATTTGACTCGAAATACTAAGTGTGTGGTATCAAATTATTCGTAAAAAAATGCTTTTTCCCAATATGCTAATGACCCAACCTTGTTCCATTTGAAAAAAATTGATATATGATTAAAAATACGATTTGGGCATCTATTAACACGAAAATCCTTAGACGATCAAATCTATTTTTCCAAGGTTCCTTGATTAAAGATTAGTGTTTTAAACAAAGCCATGGCACTCTAGATTGAAATTTAAAATACGATTTTTTTTAAAGCGAAAAGGTCAAAAGTTGACATATGATATGTCATTCTATTCAGAGTGTCATTTTCAATCGAATAAAGTAGAAAAATACCGAAGGTGCCATTTAAGAATCAAAAGTATAGTCATTTCCGGTGAAACAGGAAGTGATCGAAAACAATTGAATACGTCAAGAATCCTAATAATTTATGTTAAATACTAATATACCAAATCTCGTTTTTTTTATCTGAAAAAATAAAAAAAGTTATAGGGGTGAGCCACTTTTGAGACGCACCCGGTATAGAACTTTTTACTACTAATTTCAAACGTTTCATTTTGTATGTTAGGTACCTTCTAACAACATTTTTTGGAATAAAACTAGTTTATGAAGCTTAATATGAGTTTTATTCACAAAATATATTTCGAAACGAAGTTCTTGTTTCCTTTTGATTGGTATCACTTTTATTTAAAAGTAATTTATATTTTTATATATCAGTAAAAATTAATCATACAACACATATAATTTACTTTTTGATTTGTTTCGATACTAGTAATTCAGAAATTAAATAACTACTAATAAAAATGCTTATATAAATTTTATCAATTTCTTAAATTTATTGCCAATCAAAAACCAAATGAGCAAAATCAGAATAGCCAATCAATTCAATAATTTTGAAACGTTTTGTATTCTAAGAATACAAAAATGAAATAATATGAAACAAAGGTGTGTAACTGTATATAACTAAGTGACAGTAGTAAATTTATTGTTTGTAATAGTCGTTAAGAATTCTCATTGAACCTGAAAACAAGCTATGAAAAATCAGTAAATAACAAAGTTGAAATAATACAAATTCTCGGTATTTATGTATGAACAGTGTATGCATGTACGTGTTGCATTAGTGATGAATGTTACAACTAAATATTTTGTATTGTTATAAATATATCATATATCCATTTTGATGATTCATTGAACGTGTGTGGCAACGTTGGTTATTATTTATGTATAACAGCATTTTTTTATAAAAAAAAACGGATAACATCAAAGTAAAAGAAATTTTAAATATTTTTCATACATATTTAATTGTTATTTATTTTTATTTTGTTATTAATTTATTATTCTATTCTGATTTTGGCTGGTTTGGTTGGCAATACATTTAAAATACATCGAACATTTATCGGTTGTTATCACTAGAGTCAAAACAAACCAAGAATTAAACAACGTGATTAATTTTTCGACGATAATTAAATTTGGTTTCTATAATAATGAATCAAAACGAGACGAGAAATAAATGGATTTAGTCTTTAATCGTAGGTTATAAACTTATCAAAAACTAAAGCAATGTACAACGAATTAATAGACAGAAAAGACATAACACATAAATAACACAAAACTGGAAATAATAGAAGAATACATATATTTAGGACAACTAATACACAGCTCGGGATCTCTACTACCAGAAACAACCGAAGAGTTGAATTGGCATGGAGTGATTATTGAAGAAACTCAATCATGTTCAAATCTAGAATGTCTCTTTACCTAAAGAAGAAAACATTCGACCAATGTGTACTACCACTCATGACCTATGCGATGACCAGTCAAAACCTGGACTCTGGACTCGACAACACTCAATGGAACGAAATATGCTGGGCATAACACAGAGTCGAATCTCTCAAGTGGCAATGGGCAGGACACCTGGCAAGATGGACGGACAACAGATGGACCACAAAAATTACAGCATGGTACCCACGAGGAATTAAGAGACCTAAAGGAAGAAAAAACCGGAGATGGGACCATGATATTAGGAAATTAGCAGGGATAACTTGGACCCACATAGCCACATAGCCAACAATAGACAACAATGGGCCCAACTACAAAGAAAGTAGCTAACTATGTGAGGAAGGCTACACCATAATTGGAAATGGTTGAATAACCTGAGAATGATGATTATGATGAATCGGAGGTTATCGAATTTCACAACTGGTGTATAATAGGTGTATCAGACAACAATGTGGAATACAGGACGTAGTGAGATGGGATAGGCAAAGAAAAAGACAATGGTTCGCACACATAAAACGCATGGAAGAAAACAGGCTACCACGCATAGCTCTTGAAGGGAAACCCATGGGTAAAAGACAGCCTCGAAGACCTCTAAAAAGATGGAAAGACAGCTGGCATCCCCCAAAACTCCTACAGAGGCAACCTCAAAACTAACAGATCGACTAGATCTCAAATAAGTAGAAGAAGAAGAATAAGTGTATTAAAAATATAGGTTAGATTATAAATATTATATTTATTTATATACTAAGGGCTGGCAAAGGTTAGCCTTGGGTGCATATTTCCGTATGTCAGAAGAGTACAATGGCGTTTATAATGTACTGAACAAGAGGGAACAGTAAACACGTTGCCAAACGTATGAAATGAATCGAGAAACTGTGCACATTGCTAAGAGACGTGGAAGTGGATATAGCAGATTTGTCGCAAGCTTTGTTCGGGTTCTTGTTATTACCGATTCTGAACCGTCCTAGAACTCTGCAGCGCATGCGCAAATGAAATAATGTGCTCATATTTCCTTCTGCGCATACGCGTCACAGTTCTAGGACGGTTCAGAATCGGTAATAAGAGAAACCCGAATTAAGCTGCAGTTAACCGGTCGACCCAATCAGTACCTCTGTCAGTACTTAAAGTTCTAGGGAGAGGTGTACATCATGCGTTAAGCTTCACGATTTAATTACCTCTCGTGATACTTTATTTGTTTATTTATTAACGAGTCGTTGTAATTTTCTCTATGGCTTGAAAATTTTTAAGTGCAAGCTAGAAACACTTTTTGATAATGAAACGCATTTTTGATAAAATTAATAATAAGTGGAACTGAGTTAGTTTTCGACAGTGGTCGGGCTATTAGAACTGTGAATTCAAAAATCGATATCTCGAAATCTATTAGAAATAATTGATTGTAGTTTTTTCAAAAACTTTCTTAATATTTCTGCTGTATTTTCTTCGTAGACAGTAAGTGAAAATCTTTATCAATAAAAAAATTACACGACTGCTGAAAATTGCTATGCTCTAAAAGTAAATAGATGGGTTGTTTACAATTTGTGAATGGAAAAAAAAACAACCTTATCGAATTTTTCTTATGTAAACATATTGTAAAAAATCCTATCTTCAAAATAAAAAAAGTTTCAATATCTAAAGTGTTTCTTGAGTTATGGCGTGTTGTGTTAAAAAGTTGAGTTTTTAAATTATCTTATAGTCGTTTAAAAATAAGCGATTTGCGATCGTGATTTTACTTTACTTGATAGGGAAAGGCGTACCGGTAAAGCGGCAACAGCACTCCGTCGCATTTCTCTCACTCCGACTTAATAAGATCCCTATGCGATTTACTTCCACACGTGTAAATACCGGCCCAAGAGTAACAGTTGCCAGCACGGTATAAATACTATATTATATAATAAAATGCATTTTAGAGTATCATAAACTAGTTTCAATTTTTCAAAATGTTTTTTAGAAGGTATTCAATATATATATTTATAAAGAAAAGATGTTATCGTGGGGACTATAATAAAAAAGAAGAATGAAATTATTGGGCAACCTACAGTAAGATTAGCCATGAAACATGGCTAAAATACGACTACCCGTAGACACTCAGTGTTTCTGCCTTCCAGCTTCATCAATACGGGAGGAATCAGCAACGATGAACTAGCGATCCTGAAAAAAGAAAAAGGGGAAGCAAACGAGACACTAGGCACCATTTGCAATCTGGTTAAGCAGTAGCTCACAATTCGCAAGCGTTACTACCAAAAAACCGCTGCGGAGGTACTTCTACATACTTCGCCGCTATAACCTTAGCCCAGAAAAAAACAATAAAGAAAAGATTTCTTTATTCTTTTCTTCGACCTTCTTTATTCTTTTCTTCTTTTCTTCGATCTTCTCTTTATTGTTTTCTCTGGGCTAAGGTGATAGCGGCGAGGTATGTAGAAGTACCTCCGCAGCGGTTTTTTGGTAGTAACGCTTGCGAATTGTGAGCTACTGCTTAACCAGGTTGCAAATGGTGCCTAGTGCCTCGTTTGCTTCCTCTTTTTCTTTTTTCAGGATCGCTAGTTCATCGTTGCTGATTCCTGAGTGTCTACGGGTTACTGAGTGTCTACGGGTAGACGTATTTTAGCTATGTTTCATGGCTAATCTTACTGTAGGTTGCCCAATAATTTCATTCTTCTTTTATATTTATATTTATATATATAATAAAATATTTTGAAATTAATTGTAAGAAGTTCTAAATACTTTTATAAATTTAGAAGGCAAAATATACCTTTATATGGGCTTGTTATATTGTTCCATATTCATTTTTTACTTCCAGATTAACAGTATTTTGAATTCTTCCAACTATATAGGTTTCTGACATTTAATAAGTAAACAGGATGCTCAAATGGCGATTCTGTATGGTTTTGAACTGATTAAAAGTTACTTGGCCGATTGCGTTCCATTTCTAACCATTTTTTTGAATAATTGAAAATAAGCCGTGATTATTTAAGCATCGCTGTTTCGTGTTGAACACTATGATTTTTTTATAATATAGTAATTTTTTAAGTTGAAAAATATGTTGATTTCACAAATATCAAAGTCAAAACATGTAAATGTTCAATAAGACAAAGAAAAGCCAAAAAATTGATGTCAATGAATTGACAAAATTTGCTAAAATTTTTGGGACAATATTTTTTTGCATCAGTACCTCGATCAGTACCAATTTACAGTATTATTAATTAACACCCTGTATATTACAACATTCCTTAAATTTATATTTAAAATACAAAGATATATATACATACTATGATTTATAAAATTACTTTTATATAATTTTATAGTCAATTCTAGGAAAAATATTATTAAATATTTCCAAAGATAAAGGATAGGAAAAAACAATATTCCATGAACTGCAGTTTTTCGATGTACCATCTAATCTAAACAACGAATCATTCGGGATCATTGAACCGTAAACGATCTAGAAATTTATTCATTCAATAAGTGGAAAATTATACGTTTTTTCTGATATACAATATATTTTAAAATTAACAAACCACCTTGTTTCTGATTATACAGTGAAGAAAAAAATGTAATAATTAAATTAAATAATGCAATTATTTAATTATTAAAGAAAATAAATTCTTGGAACTAACTAAATTTAAAATATTGATATGGTATTTACATGTTTTACAAAATTAATTTATTAATGATAAAAACTACTATTATGTGTCAATTAATAAAGAAAAACAAAGAGAAATAAAAATTTAAAAAATATTCTATTTGATAAATTTTCTTGATATGAAATTAAATTCTTGGAATTCTTATAGTTGCCTAATTTTAATATACTGCCAATATTTAAAAAAAAAATCTGTAAATTCCGACTATTAAACGTGAGGTAGTAGTAACAGATAGTATATAATATATTATAATAAAATTATTTTTTATTAATTGTCAATAACAATAAATAACAATTTTTTCCAGAAAAAGTTATGCAAAATAGGTATTGCAATTATTGATTGTTTATTGAATGAACCAAATATTCAGAGATATTCAGACGAATGTTGTCTACCGTTGGCGTTATTATAAATATATCTATTAAAATTAATATAGCAATATATTCTTTCTTTTGTTTTTCCTATTAGTATTTTTAGTTTCATTTTATTATTTTCGTTATATATACCTTTATTATTTTTGTTATATAAATTTTATATTGTTGCAAAAAAATATATCTGATTCTGACAAACGATTAAACAACGTATATCGTATAATTATCTTAAATATTTTTATTGTCTTTGTCTCGGTTTTGATGTAATTCGTCTTTTATTTGTGCTTATCATTTTGTGTGTAGTGTTTTGTTAGTTTTAGTTATTTTTCTTCTAAATTTCTGTTACATTAATTTAATATACATTTTATTAAATACAAATTATCCAAAGCTGAAAAAGTTAGTCTAAGTACTTGAAACAAACGATATTAAACATAGAAGTTTCCATTAAAAAATTTTAAAAAATCTTTATTTAAAAAATGATAATATTGTAATATTATTAAAAGCTATTGGAAAACAATGCAATGCAATTTATTTTATAAGTTTATACTATTAACGATAATAGTAGTAAAAGTAGAATTTAATGCCATATTTTTACCTATAAAAATTAAAAAACCTTTTAGATTATCTTGACATTTCTTAATCTTTGCCTGAAATGATTATTTAAAATGTTGCCTTTAAAGAAATCTACGAAATAAAAAAGATATAATATATGAGAAACCAGCTTGTCAATGGCTTTTTACTATTAAAGCTTTGCCTAACCGGCAAAAAAAAAATGCTTAACGTTTAAGAAAGTATACGTCCTCCCGTCCTCAAAAGCAAAAAACACAAAAGAACTCTTTAAAATATCTAAATACATACAACTATTCAAGAACACATTAGTTTTTAGCATATACCTTTGTTATAAAGGGCTGACGTTCTGTTAAAATGACATTATACATATAAAGTCAAACTAAAAATTGACAAGAATTACTTGAAGAGGTAAAACCAAAACCCACTTTCTGTGTACGACTTTTTGTTTGTTTTTAATTTTTACCTATGTTATTCTAAATAAAATAAATAAATAAATAAATAACGAAAGAAAAAAGCAGTGGTGTTTACAAAAATAACTTTTTTATTTCGTAAATTTCAAATTTCTTTTACCAGATTTTCGCGTAAATCAGTTAAAACAGAGAAGAAAGATAAAACTCGTTATATTACAATCTATATTCACCAAGACCTCTTGAATCTGAAGCCAAGACCGATCCAAATATTTAATAAATCCTCAAAAATTCACCACAAAATCAAACTTTCCCGACTAAATCAAATCGTTTTCGCAGTAATAACATCCACAAAATCCAAAACAACTAAATATCCCCGATTTATCTGTCACTTGCGCCGATGTTTGTATAAATAAAACATCGCCGAAACGCGTTTTTCGTGTTCCAAGCTCGACGGAACGCACCGATCCGCGATCAGCATCCGCCGTCATCAGACTGGCCCTCCATTGGCCATTAGCGTGCGGTGGAGAACCGGCTTGCGAACGCGCGCCATCGTGGACGGCAACGCTCGCTCTTGGGGCCGCGTTGCCGGATTGCAGGAAGACCGCAGGAATTCCTGGCGCCTAGGGTTGCTCGCTTGCCTATGTGTTTGTTTCTATTAACGCGGGTTGTTAAATGTTGCCAATAGATCCTTCTTTCTTAACATTTAACCGCTTACATACGATCTGACATATCGTTATACTATTTTTTTATGTATAATACAATTTAATAAAAACAACTCCTTTTTTCAGGAGTTTTCAGGAGCCTTTTTTGATTGACCATGGCAAGTTCTTCGACGTACATGATATTGAAAGGTATACTGTTCATCCTAAATATCAACGGCCAACGGCCCATTAATATTAGATACCACCTATTTTCCTCCCAACAAAACATACCTAATCAGGGGCGCAACTAGATCTATACTTTTAGTGGGGCTCAAGTCTTTTGGGGGGGCTTAGATCACTATAAGATAATATTGATGTAAGGTTAAAACCAATTTTACACGATACGCATTGGTCATTTAGGGGTCTAAGCCCACCCTGGCCCCCACTAGTTGCGCCTCTGTACCTAATATCCCTGTATCCATTTTTTCCGACACACTGCCCTCTCCCAAGGATCCTGTTGCAGTTAATATGGAATTTTGTAAATTAAAGAAATCTTAAACTACCAGATATCTTTACAAAACTAGTCTAATGCATATTTTGAAGGATATTGGGGTAGGTGCCGATTGGTTCGGAGTATTTGGTTTTCGGCCCAAATACTCCTATCCCTGTCCCTGCTTTGGTTTTGGAAGGCACGTTGTTTTCCCCAATCCTTTTTATTACTCAATACTACAGTGAGGTGTTTCTCAAAGTTCTCTTACGGTCTCTACATGTTTATTTATGTTATATTTATTAAAATCAAAGGAAGCGATGGACATACATCTGTAAAAGCTAGTAATGGATACGAATGGTTTGATTTCATATAATGTCATTTTAGTAGAACGTTTATAATAGACGTATCTGAAAAAAAACTAAAGTGTTCTTGATATTTTAAATAGTTTTTTCTTTGTTCTTTTTTTGTTTTTTTTTTATTCCTAACAACCAATGGGATAGAAGATATACTTCCTGAAACGTTCAGCATTTTTTGTCGGCCGGGCAAATTTGTTTTACTAGTAAAATACCACTGACCACTTTGTCTACTTTGGATCAACGCAGTGTTTTTTACAAAAAAATATCTGTTTATTTTACAGATTTTATTCTAGTAGCAAAATACCCAGAATTCTGTTCAAGAAATGAACCAGCCACAAAGGTCATGACATTCTAAACATATCGCTAATCTGATACACAGTCAATGCAGATTTATTTTTTGAACATTAGGTACATTCTGCCGTTTTGTACAACACAGATCCATAATGAGCCTTCCTTCATTATTTTGGTGGATATTTATAGCAGGTTGTTCGTATTTCTCAGGTTGTTCGTATTTCTCGTTCGTATCTCTCTTTCTCATAGTGGAACACGTAACTCGAATGAAATGGAGATGGGCAGGTCATGTGGCGAGAACATCTAAAGACAGGTGGACTAGAAGATTGTTAGAATGGCGACCTCGAGCAGATAAACGTAGCAGAGGCAGACCACCGACACGCTGGACCGATGATGTAAAGAGGATTATAACTCAAGAAAGGGGAACACACAATAGATCTATAAGGTCGCGGTGATTAACTCCCCTCCTAAACATTCTACATTCTACATTCTACCGCCATTCGTCCGAAAAATCAAACGATCTAGCTAGAATAGAAGCTAACACTCCGCTAACTGGACGTTATTTGTTATTCTGTGACTGGACGATCAGATCCGCTCTGCTATACAAGTGAAAACCAGCTTAAAGCGGAACTCAAGAACCTGTAAGACTCCATCCGTAACCTGGAATGGTAATCCTCAAACGGTCTAAGACACTCGAAGAAATATATCAGAACTTCAGGACCAGAAAAATCAAAGATATTTCTTGATTTAAGCAAGAACAATCTTCAGATTGTCACGGTTTTTTTTAACAGGACACTGTCTCCTCAATGGACACTTCAGTAGATTGAAGCTAAGAAACACAGGCGAAAGCAGATTCTATGGGAAAAATGTGGAAACACCAGGAAATGTCATCACTGAGTGCGCTGGCGCGGCGCACAGTGTAACGAAATCGGGAAATGCGGGACATTAGCCCAAAGAACAAAAAAATTAATTCATCAAGTTTTTAATATAGATGGATAAAGGACATCCCAGAGCTCCACCATGTGAGATATTTCTTGAGTCCTTAGTCGTCTTGACCTTAGTCCTTTCTTGACCTCTTAGTCGGGGAGTTATGGCGGGTTAAAGTTATGGTTTCCTTAATTTACCAAATCTGTACAAAAATTTCATACAATGAAATTTATTATTTTCAGAAGTTTTCTTGTGTTGTTCAATTCCAACAATTTTTTCCGTAAAAAGAGGTCTTTTACCAACAACAAACCTGAAAAAAATGTCCCAATTTTTTTCAAGTCTAGTTTCTACATGTTTATTATGACTTTCAAAAAAACGCATACATTCGCGCCATGTTTTATATGCAAAATGTCATAGAGTGAACCTTCTAGTATACTGTTACATATAAATTTCATCCACCTAGATCCGAACCTGGAAGAAAAAATTTCTTCGGCAATAATTACGTTTTCCATTGATTCGACCGTAGTTTGATGACATGAAAGAGGCAGCAGAACTATTTGTTTCTCTTTACGGTTGGTATTATATGCCTTCAAGCATTCATATGCTTTTGATTCATGGTGCAGATATCTGTGAACGTTTTCAATTTATACCCATCGACAAAATGTCCGAAGAAGCATCTGAATCAAGAAACAAAGATTTTCGATCGTTCCGCCAAAATTTTTCCAGGAAGAGTGGTCGTAAGGAAACTATTGAAGATATATTGCACAACTCATTGATATATTCAGATCCTCTACTTTCACATCAGCGACCAAAGCACTCTAAAAATAAAAAAGTAGACTTGTTCCGGAAGCGAAAGAGCTCTTGTATATGGATGGAGAAGAAATTGAGAATGATTTTTAAGCATGTTTTATGTAAGTGCCTTACATATTATGTTATTTTGGAATAATATACACCCCACATAAATTATCGCATCACTTGTTAATTTGGAAAACTGCAAAGTATTCTTAAAAAAATTCTCTTGGTTAACAATAATCTCAAAAGTTATTTGCATTAATAGCAACTTGTTTAGGAATAGAAAGTATATCATAACTCAAGCAGACCTTAGATTTAAGTTTTTCACATAAAAATGTTTGAAGCGTTTCAAGAATAAATACTACGAAAAATATAAGTGTTGCGAAATTTTTTGTGAGGTGTGTGTTATGGTTTCCTTTGTTGAAGTTGAATACGTTTTTTTCGCATATTATCAAATTATTTAATACTGTTAAATGATATTTGCCACTTGTGTCGTTCTCTTTGAGTTTTGCAGTCTTATCTAATTTATCCCTGATTATTTGAATATTTAGGAATGTTGATTGAGTTTTGACATATTAGCGGGAGATAAACGATTGTTCGACGGGAATTTGATAACGTTTTTGCTCCATAAAAGCTATAAACTCTTCGTAAATAAAAAAATATACCTGTAAAGTCCTTTTATAAAACTTCGTATTTTTTTTGGCCTTTTATTACGCCTTTTTTTACTCTTTTGCCCTGTAGCAAAAATTCCTAGTCGTATTATTTAATTTCTGTCAAAAAATGTCAGCAAGAATAGTGATAACTGAAGAAAAATGCCAATGTCCCACTATTTTACTTTTCGTTACACTGTGCGGCACCGGGACAACCATTCGTGCGATAATTTTTGGTACGACTGATATTGGAGATGGAGAACTAACTTCTCTAAAACCAGAAACTCTTAGAAACTAGCTTTTGTCAAAGCCTTCAGACTGAGTTATAACTCATCACTCATCTCTTAGAATCTCAGAATCGCAGTTATTAACTTACCCCCTCCCATACAATCTACAATTTTCTTTTAAAAATAATTTATCAAAAAGATATAATCAAAATTAATTAGAACATAATATTTTCAACTATACACCGAAAAATATCTAGAGCGTCAAGTTATTTCTTGAGACATTCCTGCAAGCATTCCATAGTGGCAACGTGGCGAAGGCGATGGAATGAACGCATTGTTGCCACAATCTCATAGAGGGTTGCAATTCGGCAGGTGTAAGGAAGAAGAATCGTAAATGTAAGAACTTCAATTAAAGACGGTATGTTTATACAAGGGGTAGACGTAAACTACCTTTAGCGAATATTTTATTATGATTTAATTAGATTTTTTTTTATTCCTTTTTCTTTTAATTGGTATACCTATAGTCCTTCTAAAAATATTGCCAAAAAAACATTTTATTATTCGTTTGAATGGTTCCACTATATCTTCGACAAACTAAGAAACATATATTTAAAAAAAATCCAAAAATTTTAGAATTAATTGAAATGGGAAAACTCAGAGAAGATACAGAGTGTCCCAAATAAATAAAAAATATCAAAGTTGTATTTTTTAAATGGAACACCCCGTACATTATTACATTTTTAGTTTCTACGGTTAAAATAAAGGTTAATTTGATTAAGGTTTATCACACTTAAACCTTGCGTTTTTTGAAATATTTTCAATTTTGTAAAATTACAGTAAAAATTTTAAGGCTTCATTTCACCAAGGTTGTCAAATTTTTTAATACTCAATATTTACTGAAGTTTGTTTATTGATCAGTTATTGTGTTGCAACTATTCTGGAATCCTATTAATTGGTCCCCTTTAACAAACATTTATACAGTTTTTTTTTATTTTTTAATGAAATAAACGAACTCTATTTACAATTTTAGTACCTGTACTCTTTAAAAATTTGTTACATATTTAAAAACAATCTAAAATGTCAATATTCCATAGGTATATTGA